ACTGAAGCTCATCTCTGCTGAAAAAACCATTTGTGTTTACCTCCAATGAAACTTTCCACAGATGTCTTCCTTTGCAACTTCAAAGTTCATGATTATCTAGTCAAACCAATAGTAACAAATGGGTCAGTATATAGTCTCACGTTTAGCTATTTTTCTAAGTACAATGCACAACCATGTACACTGCCTAAAGTTCTGCCCGCTGTGAAGATTTCCCTTCAGTACACTCCCTCAGAGTTGTGTAAGACAGACACTACAATGCTACGGCTGTCTACTTCTGAGTGATGTTTGTATAGTGTGCAGAACCATCTACAAACCAGAACCTAGTCTTCTCCCCAACCAACCAATCATAAAGAACACACATACCCACACATGAGGCTGTTAGTGCATGCTTAGGAAGAAAAATCAGTGTAGCAAGAGTGGGCATTTTGGCTACTTCTTCATGAAATATGTCTGCAGAACCAACTCAGGCATGCATGGGTATTGCGTCCATTACATTATTACAACAATCAACTCTCATTCTTCAAGATCCACCCTAATTTTGCACAGGCAGATGATAATAGCAGGTATGGAGGGACGCACCCACACCTGCATCTTGCAAATCTTCAATTCAATATGCAATATGTATGGAGTAAAGGGTCTTGGATTCAAAGGCAGAGGGCATGGCACCACTCACCATCACTAAGACCCCACCAGCAGGCTATTGTTCCCTGTACCTCCCCATAATCAGATACATTGTTTTCATTCACTATTTTCCTGTCATCACAGCCATTCCCAACCATCATAACCCTCATCCTACAGGTCAGGAAAAGCATGGAGATTGTGCCAATACCCAAGTATTATTAATCCAATTACAAATTCTGTGCTTGGCAACCCCAGAGAAGCTAGGAAACAAGGAGGAAACTAAGAGAGACACACATGGACCCCCTAGAAGGGGAAAGGGACAAGATCTCCTGAGTAAATTGGGAGCATGGGGGAAGAGGGAGGGAGGGAGGAGATAGAGGAAGGGAAAGAGGGAGAGAGGAGGAGACCATGAGGGATCAGGAAAGTCAAGTTGGGGTAAGAACAGAGAAGGACAGCAAGGAAAGAAACACCTTAATGGGGGAGGGGGCGTTATGGGTATAACAACCTGGCACAGGGGAATCTCCAGGGATCCACAAGGATGACCCCAACTAAGAATCTAAGCAACAGTGGAGAGGCTACATAAATGCCCTTCCCCTATAATGAGACTGATGACCACCTTAAATGCCACCCTAGAGCCTTCATCCAGTAACTGATGGAAGCAAAAACAGAGACTCACAGCTAAGCACTGAGCTGAACTCGTGGAATCCAGTTGTAGAGAGGGAGGAGTGATGATGAACAAAGGGGTCAAGACCGTGCTAGGGAAGCCCACAGAAACAGCTGACCTGAGTAAGTGGGAGTTCACAGACCCCAGTCTGACAGCCGGGGAACCTGCATAAGACTGAACCAGGCCCCCTGAACATGGGTTTCAGTTGGGAGGCCTGGGAAGTCTATGGGGCCTCTGGCAGTGGAACCAGTATTTATCCCTAGTACATGAGTGGACTTTGGGAGCCCATTCCCTATGGAGGGACACTCTCTCAGCCTAGACACACAGGGGAGGATAAGTCCTGCCCCAAACGATGTGACAGACTTTGATGATACTCCATGGAAGGCCTCACTCTCCCTGAGGAGTAGATGGAGAGTGGCATGGGGGTTGTTGGGGGGAATAGGTGAAAGACCCCCGAAGAGGTACTTTCGTAGAAGGAGACCCGTACCCAGGAATCAGCGAGACCACGAACTTGGATGCAAAAGCAAGAGGCTTTATTAAAACGCAGGTACCCGGGTGACTTAGCTTCTGTGAGGCCAAGCGCCGAGCCAAGGGAAAGGGGTCCTTATATAGGGAAAAAGGCGCAAGCTAGGAGCAGGGATTCTATTGGATAATTC